TAAAAACTCAAGTTAGATACCGTTATTAATCAGCTGTAAGTTTTAGTTTGTTTGAACTTATTCATTATAATATTGTACAAAATGGTATAAGAATGCATTCTTAAATTGATTATAGTCTATTATCAATTCAGGTTAAGAAACTAGTGTCGCTTGCATCCTATTTTAAAGGCATTTCTTTTTATACTCTACTAAAATGCAACAAAAAAAGGGTTTGATTTTATTAATTTTGTCTTTTTTATTGCTCTTTGCAGCAGATTCCTGTGTAGCTTCAGATCTGAGTTGTCTTATTAGTAAGCCTCATTTATACTTTTGTAGCAACACTATTTTTATATAATGGCAAAGAAAGGGTTCAGAGTCTTTTCTTTTTTCCCTGTGTCATATGAGGCAGCACTGTTCAATGTCTCTTGAAAACATTACCCACTGTAGTATGTGACGTGTGAATAAACTCCAACTCTGTATCAACAACACTGTTGTGTAACTTCAGTTAAATACTTGTATGTGTGTAGATTAGAAAGAGGTAAGATAAAGGATCTGCAGTATTTTATGAAGTATTAATCTACAAAGGTCAGTTTTATACAAGTAGAAGTGTGTGTTTACCCGGTAGTAGGCTGTCAGTAATGGCTATACGCCTCTCTATTTGGACTCGTAGATCTCGGCAGACTGGCAACTTTAAAAGTAGCTCTCGGTTCAAAAAAGGTTGGGCACCCCTGCTTTAAGCCAATCAGCGGTGAGGATCTCAGCCTGCCGTCACTGACATTGAATCAGAAAACCAAAACATCAGCCGTTAGCTGTTAGCACACAAAGCTAACAGTTCCTCATATCTGTTCAGAAACTGGAGAAAAGTTATACATGTACAAAACAACGCAAATGCAGCCGCTGCTTTATCTATGTCTGTACGACGTTGTCGTGATTGTGTACGGAGCAGCTGCTGGTTTATACTAATCGGTATACGTGTGTTACAATAACATCACGGCAAAATATGTTTATTTTCTTGTTGGTATCTACATGGAGATAAGCCCCGCCTTCTCGCCAGCGCGTCTAGTTTGAGTGACACAAGTAGACACCAATATTGAAGTTGCACGAGTAACACGGGATAAATCTGTGCTTTGCGTCCGGGGTGAATCAAGCCCACAGGAAGTGCTCTGGACACTGAGGAAAATATTCCTAGTGGCCAAAATGCGGTACTACACTTTCCATTGCCGTTAGTATATATTAAACGTGTAGATCAGTATTAGTGGATGCTCACCCATGCTGATGGTGGTTTTTGGGGAGATGTTGGGAACGTTGCACTGCCATGTGAGGCAGCGAGGGTGAGATGTGAGACGGGGGTTGAGCGAGAAAAGTAACCCTTTGATCAGGTCATCGTCCCAGGGATCTGAGACCAGGTTCCCCTGCGTCCTGTCGGGGCTCGTCATGGATTCATCGTGCAGTAAAGACGCCTCCGGGCTCATGGGAACGTCGGCAATCCTCTTAATGTGAGGACTCAGGAAAACGTCCAGGTCAGAACCCCCCCGAGGTTCCTGATGGAAGCTGCGTCATCGGTGGAGAAACGAGATCATATTAGCTTTATCAATTAGATTTCTATCATAAAAAACTGACATTTAAAAAGTCTCCTATTATGCAAAATGCACTGATGTCTTTTCTATGTGTCCCCGGTGTGTCCCCGATGTGTCTCCGGTGTGTCCCCGGTGTGTCCCCGATTTGCTGTTATGTCGGAACTATACTGGGAAAGTCCTCTGGTGTGAAAGCGCCTAATGTGTAAAGAAGCAGGAAATGAAACGTGTTGTTAAAGCTTCAGACCCATCTCTTTAGTAACAGCTGAAATAGAGGGGGATGAGGCTAGAAGGATCTGTTTGGTATCTTGAGCAAAACACTTCGGAGACATGCTTTTTATATATTTGTATAAATCCGAGACCTATAATGTATGCCGACAAATAGCACAATAGGAGACCTTTAAGGATCTGTTTGTATTGTGTTTTATATACTCACTCTGGGCTCCTGAGGGCCAGCCAGTCTGGTTTGGGCGTGTAATCCGGACTCATGGGGACGTCCTGGACCTGGTTCTGGGCCTGGCTCTGATCCTGGACCTGGTTCTGGGTCTGGCTCTGATCCTGGACCTGGTTCTGATTCTGGACCCTCTCCAGTGTTGGGGTATTCCATGAATCCTCCATGATGGTGAAAGGTTCTCCTTTGGTGTAAACGTCCCAGTTTGAGGCGCCTAGCGGACAGAGGGTTTCTGGATCCTGGAACTGATCCTGGACCTGGTTCTGGAACTGATCCTGGACCGGGTTCTGATTCTGGACCTGGTTCTGGAACTGATCCTGGACCTGATCCTGGACCTGGTTCTGGAACTGATCCTGGAACTGATTCTGGAACTGATCCTGGACCTGGTTCTGGAACTGATCCTGGAACTGATTCTGGAACTGATCCTGGACCTGGTTCTGGAACTGATCCTGGACCTGGTTCTGGAACTGATCCTGGACCTGGTTCTGGAACTGATCCTGGACCTGATCCTGGACCTGATCCTGGACCTGATCCTGGAACTGATCCTGGACCTGGTTCTGGAACTGATCCTGGACCGGGTTCTGATCCTGGACCTGGTTCTGGAACTG